TTGACAAGCGTACTACTAGTCTATAATTTAATTGCATGGACATGTTCCAGCATGCTAGCCTAAACTAATTGCATGGGCATATCTATGTAGGATTCGAGCATGCATTTTTCACCTTTTCACTACATTTGAGATATTCTGGTAATTAATCTAATGACTTAAAACACACGCCGAATGTAGCATAGAGTTTAATTTATGTTTATTTGATTCTCTCTCTCTCTCTCTCTCTCTCTCTCATCATGATTCATGATTCATGATCAGCTCTCCCATCTCTTCTTCTTTAGTCTTTATATCTCATAAATTATTTCATGTTGATCAGGGTCACATGCTCTAATTATTTTTGAGAAGTCTTGTTCATGTGGAAACCAAATAGGTATATAGCTTTGTTTATTTTATATATAGAAGGAATAACAACGGATCAGGCGACAATGATATTGTGAATTTCCATGCAAACAAACGAAGAGAGTGGATTCCAGCTACAGAAGAATAGCCTATGATTCTGTGAAAGAAAAAAACCTAATTCCCCTATTGAGAAGAAAGAATTTTCTGAGAGTGAGGGAAGAAAGGAGAAATAAATAGGGAGGAGAAGCTGATCAAGAGCGGGGAGATTGAGATAGTTCTCCCTCTCTATTTCTCCTTTCTTATTTTCTCATGTCACAAATTTTCTTTCTTGTCAATTGAGAAACTAGCTAGACATGTTATACCATTAACAACCACAACAATTATCCTTACAGAAGTCATAAATACCGGGTTAGAGAGACTACCTATGCAATAATAGTGCATGCATGCCATTAAAATTTCTTCTATGTTGAAAAATTCCAAAAATTAGTTTTAATTGTTTGCTTTTCAACGAAAGAGTAGACTACCTATGCAAATTTCATCCTTAATATTGGATTGACAAGGTAACAAAAGCTTATAGTTAATAAAGATTTAGGGGACCCTCCTATTTTTTGATGGCGTGCACCGCATAAAATATTAATACGAAAAGAAAATTTCTCTTAACATAAAATCATTAATTCTTATATACTTTTATGGTGTTCTAATAAAGCATATCTTCTAACCCAAAAAAAAAAAAAAAAAAAAAAAAAACCCTCCCAATCCCACTTTCATAACCCATCATCTTTTTCAAGGTCATCACATACTCATATTCCATTTGTTTACAATGTGAAGCCTAGCATGCACATTACAGGTTCGAAATCTCACAAATTGATGAAAACTGTGTTTTTTTTTTAAATGATGAAAAATGTGTTTTTTTTAAATGAATAAAACGAGAGTAATGCTAGGCTTACCACATTTTTCATACCACAATTATACCACCTCTCTAATAGAGGTGGAGCCCACCAATACAATGGGGCTCACCTTTATTAGAGATGTGGTACAATTATGGTATGAAAAATGTGGTAAGCCTAGCATTTTTCATGCAACAATAAATCCTCACTTTGGAGCCTTCAAATGAAGTATGGGTTGAAAAAATTTCAATTCCATTGGGCTGGTATTCCTAGGCCAGGTCCGAATGCGACGCGATTTGTTATTCCGTGCTCTACTTTCTATTTCAAGTTTTGAGAGTAGGAACAAGAACGGTAGAGATATATCATTCTTGGATTATGAGAGCATCTTACTAGAGGATCTCATTGGCAAATGTTACAAAAATTCTTTCTTTTAGCCTTTATTGACCTTACCAACTCAAACATTGCTTCGTATACTTTGGGACATATCCAGAAAATTGCAGCATCAGATGCGGCGGACTAATTCGACAATGGATCGCTAAAGGCTTTATAAAGAAGCAGAGAACGAAAAACATTGGACGATGTTGTAGAGGAATACTTGACAGAGCTTATCCAAAGAGGCCTAGTTCAAGTGTCATCGGTTCATTATCATACTGGGAAACTCAGAATGTCAAGTCCATGATGTCATACGGGACTGTCATCCTTTTAAAGACGAGATCTGAGCTTTTCTCCATCTTTCAAAGAAGATTCAAGATTCGCAATAATTTTGTAAAGACAAATCTAATCATATTTGTAATGACTAATAATAATAATCAAAGTTTATAGCCATAGATATGTCAGCCATCCCGTTAATAGTTGTAATTAGGCTTTATCTAATCATAATGTACAAGGGTCTCATTTCGATTCCCATTCAATCTTGAAGCAGCCAAGCATATAAGAAAGATGGTAGGCCAAAGGGATATTTTGATAGGATTATTGACACGGCGACAGAAGTAAATATATTGAATTGTCGAGCAAACGCACTGAGAGATGCCACCAGCTAAGCCATAGATGTCAGGGAGGGTACCAAAAACTGTGTAACGAGGAGGTGGATAATAAAACCACCATAGCATTCCCCACCTCCTCAACACGACTCCTTCTTTTATACCCTTGTGAAGGAGCTCACATATGCAAGTGAGTAGAGCCCCAAAAGCCAACAGCATACCGAATAGTGCGTAGTGTGGTTTACTTGGGGAGGAAGCCTGATCAAAAGCAGCTGATAAGATCTCCAAGCCGAGGCTTGTGAGTAAAAAGAACCATTCTGTCCCTGAAGTAGTCTACAAAAGAAACGAGGAATAAGTTCAATACAAAATTAAAGAGAACTAGCAAGAAATAAGATGAGTGTGTACATGAGAAGACCGTCAATCTGGACCAGTGATCAAGTTGGTTCTTGCATGAATATATAGCCCAAATTCACAGTGTAGCAACATAAGTATAATAAGACAGCATGACCCTAGTATATGGTTATGTGTTTCGATCACTACCTTTGTCGCCTGCCTTGGCTTGCCATAGTTAGTGTTCTCGTGGCTTGGTTGATCATGATCATGTTTCTGCTCATGCAATATTGGCTCTTCATGGTCGACGTTGTCCACACTGGAGCCGATGCTAGGTAGGACATCTGGAGTAATGCTAAGCAAAGGCGCCCCGCCGCGCAACTCCTACAACATGCAAAGATCAGGGGAAAGCCAAAGCCTTGTAACTCGAAATACAATGTCTTGCAAATGCAGAGACATGTCATATGCCAATCAAATTACAATGAAAGTATACTTCAATTAGAACTAAACCATCTAAAAATAAATAAAACTTTTTAAACATAACTTAATAGGGATGAAACCACCAAATTAAGAAAATTAACCAAAAATACGAAATTTAATGTTTGGAGCTTATGCCTCTATAGCAGTGAGAGCGCTTACCCACACACTCCTAGAAAGACTTTGATTCATGTCCTTCCTTTCCTGAAATAACATAACAAATTAAAATTTCAGTTATAAATTGAGTTGCAGCCTTCCAGTTGAAACGAAGGTTGCAGATGCCGCTTCTCCTACAATATGCAATGATAGTGTGAAAAGCGACAAGCCCTGTATCTGGAATACGAAGCTGTAATGTCTAATCATCTATTAAGCATGCACACTCTTGACCAGTATAATTCAGAGGTTCTGAATTCTCTTCTCTGTTTATAACTGTATTTCCAGCCGTTCATATTTTCTTTAGCATTGTACAAAGCCAGAACCCTCTTTGTCAAAGGTCACAGATGAAATCCATGGCCACCCCAACAAAGGTCACAGATCATCCATTGCCTTTGCATCATTTTTAGTGAAACATAAAAAAAAAAAAAATAGTGTCAAAAAATAAAACCTCATGGTTGTGAGTTCCCTTGTATGCTACTTGAGTAATCTGTCCATCCAGTGATCTGCCCACCTTTTTCTTTCTTTTGCAATAGGGATATGTGCACATGTAATAACTCGTCGAGCCTTCATTACCTTTCTCTCCTTTTTGTCCATATTTTCTCCAACTGTAACCATCTTCTGATATTGGTACCAATTTGGATTCTGCGGCTCCTGTCATCTTTGTTGAGGAATAAACTTGGCAAAAGTTTTTTTTGAGACGCGGTGCTCCCTGTTTGCTTTCAATTGATTCTTCCTGTCCCCAAAGAATGAGGTAGCCTCAGAATAAGATTCAAAACTAGGTAGAGCACGGGGACACAAGAGATTTATCAGGAAAATGTCATGGCACAAGCAAAAGAAAAATTCGATGGGAGATAACTCCATCAACAAATATTACATGATGACAAAAGCAAAATAAAAATTTGTGAGGTATATTTGTGTTTGACCTTTCCCTTTGTGTTGGTATATTTGTGTTTCTGTATTGTTCTGGGGCTGTTTCTTCCCCTCCCCGTTCGTTGGGGTTTCAATGAACAAAACCCACGACGTCAATCAATTCCAACCCAAAATCCCAAATTTCTCAATTAACAACCCATTTTCGTGTTCAAATTCGTGCAATTGGACTCATCAACCACAAAAAAAAGGGTGGAATTGGAGCCACCAAGCTCCAACAAGAAAAATCCAGGAGAAACAGAGTCATCGGATGACAGAAACTGGTGAAATCACCGTCGGAAAAATCTCAACCTCTGCCACGCACGGCCGACGACGTTCCACTCGTCTCCTCGCGACACTGCCACCACCAAAGAAACCGGCGAACTCGGATATGGCAGATCCCCATATTATCCGGTCACGCCGTTGAAACCGACATTCCCTCCCTGGTCAAATCTTTCCAACATGCTCAATGGTCTCTATCATGATTGGTGGATGATATTTGTATATTGTTTGTCCATATCTCATTGTAATTTGTAATATAATATAAATGAGTGGAATGCAAACTGACAAAGTCTCAAACAATAGATTATTTGTTCACTCTCACTCTCTCATACTATTTACAAAAAAGAATAACGTGGGAGATAGCAAAATTGAAGAGAAGGGAGAGGTGAAACCTGCATAATGCGCTGAAGATCACCGACGACGACAGGCGGTTCGTTGGAGTTCTGCAGCATGGCACATAGCCTCTTCCAGTTTTCCATTATAGTCCCCGAAGAGTTGACTGCCCCAAAGTTGTTATTTAGATGCTCATGGCTCTCCATCGCTTGCTTCACTTGTAAAAATAAAAAATTAAATCAGACTCTTCAAATTCCTAACTCAGTGGTGAAGGTGATTGATTGTAATAAAAATCAAACTCATGTTACTTATATATTAGGTAACTTGCTTACTCGGCGTCATCTTTTCGAAGCAGTTTCCTGTCACTAAAAGCCAAATCAACGCGATTTGCATAATTTCCTAGCACCTGTGTTTTTTCTTTCCAAGTCAATGTGACTTAACTGAAATATTTAAGGAGGCGGATCGTGGCATTATATTTTTGACACAAGTTCCGACACAAAAAAATTTGAATCATTAAATTAAAATAATAATCAACACCGGGCAAATGGAGATTTTTTGCACATCCAGGCTATGGAGGAGATTACCAACGCTAGGCAGGGAGGGAGAGAGATGTAGAATTTGGGGAACTGTGCAATTCATAATAATTAAATTAAAATAATAATAATTTGAATAAATGTATTATTTCAAAAATATTAATAAATTAGTTGTGAGATTTAATTTGAGCCAATGCCTAAATTTAATGATTTAAAATTTGTGTCAAAAACAAGATGCTATGGATGTCTGAAAAAGTAAGAGTAAGAGATTAAGTTACTTCCATATTTAAAAATAAATAAAGAAGTCCTTTTTTTATGAGAAAAAAAAAAAATTTACAATAACCTTGACTCATGGGGGCACGCATGCCCAAAAAAGGTCAAGGTAAAAGGAGCTAACAATAGAAAGAGGAAGACTATCTACCAAAGCTTGGAAGGGGGGTCAAGGAGTGTCCTAAGGAAGGTAAAGCATAGCAACCGAGTTTGACTCCTTGAAAGCATGCTGGAATTTAATCAAATTACAAAAGGAGGCCAAGTGTGACACATCTTGGAGAAGCTGCATAATACTCCAGGGGCAGAGCATTTCTTGTTAATAGCATCAATGACCAATTTGGAGTCACCTTCAATTATGATATTGTGCCAATCATGATGAACTGCATGGGCTAGACCATCCCTCAGAGCAAGGCATTCAGCCACAGCAATGGAATTGTCTCCAATTGTTTTAGCACCAGCGAGAAGGGTGTGGGCGTTGTCATCTCTAATTACAAATCCTGTGGTAGCAACTCCATTTTTTACTAATCCATCGAAGTTGAGCTTGATCCAACCAGAGGAGGCATCCATTTGATAAGGGGAATAACCTGTTTGGGTTTCTTGAGCTTGTGATTCGCCTTCCAATAGTCCAGATGAATGAGACTGATAATAGAGAGGACTTGCGCAGGATAGGTTGCCATATCCTTAAAAATGAGGTTGTTGCAAGCTTCCCAAATCTGCCAGCAGATAAATAAATTTTTGCAAAAATTATTAAAACCTTGTTGATTATCAATAGTATTTAAAGAAGATAACCAGGCAAGCAATATGGTCCCCATAAGCAAGATTAGGAACTACAGAACCATGGACACACTTCCAAACTGACTGAGCAAAATATTACAAGGAATGAACATGTGGTTAATATATTCAGGTTGATACTCCCACATTGTTAGCTCCTTTTACCTTGACCTTTTTTGGCCATGCGTGCCCCCATGAGTCTAGGTTATTAATTTTAAAGTTGACACATGTTAGATTTGGAGTGGAAGTATCACATGCTGACGTGATGATACCGTATCACTTTATAATTTCTCCTACGAACTAGTTAGTGTTAATGGCAAAATTATGAGGCGAACTTTGTTTTGATTTGACTAGGGATTCGGGCTAATGGAGTACTAACGGTTCTAATAAGGTCTTTGGTGGGATCCGGGCATCACAAATGTGTTTTTATTTATTTATTTTTTTTTATTTAGGCTTTTCTATGCACGACGAGCAATTAATTAACGAAGCTCGATGCATAGCATATTTCCAACTTCCTACATACGATATGCCAATTTGAATTGAATTTTTACGTGAAAAATAACTTGTAATTTAAGTGGTTAATTATTAATAATATTTAACTCGAAACTCGAGATCTGATGTGTTCGAGATTTGTAGGCGGAGTTTATGATCTAATCCAAGTTTCAAATTTGTTGCCCCTTCCATTTCAAATTTTCCTTTTTGAGGATACCAACCAAGGAAATTATTGATTGTCATAACTTTTTCCCAATTATTGAATCCAATTTGTTCATCCAAACACATTGTTATTGTAAGCTTGCCATCGGACAAAAAGGTACATGTAAAGTCAAAACAATCATGCTTAACATAAGGTTAATCAACAACAGAAACTTAAAAATAACTGAAAATTCATTATGACATAAGAGGATAATACTTAATAACAACGGGATGAACCAAACAACAAAAGATCGGCCAAGTGCTTATTTCATAATAGTAAAACATCATCTTAAACAAAGCTAGAACTTTAGTAAGAAAACGGTGCACATCAAAAGCCTTAGTGAAGATACTTAACCTTAGTCTATGACGGTAACAGTATTAGCAGTAGCCTGGTTATTGAGGCCATGCACGTACTGCATAACAAAAAATCGTGTGGACTCACCATCCACAAAGGACCAAAGGTCAACCGGAACTTCAACCCTAAAGCGGTTGCGGGAAACAACATTTTTCCATTCGTCCTGAGAACCAAAAACATACATCCCGTTTCCCTTCTTGACCAGCTTGATCAAGCTAGTAACGCCCTCAGGCTCTATAAGCTTTACGGGGATGGAATCTCCGTCATTGGCCAGCTTTTCCTTCTCCTTGGAGTGGAGAATGAGGCTGAGCAGCAGTGCCTGGGGTATCATCAGATACTCACTGCATATGTCACGTTGGAACTTCAAAAACAATCGGCCTACGAGCTTCACATCCTTACCCTTGAGTTCACGGATCTTATCTTTTGTATGTTGGGCCAACACAAAGTCTGCCATCTTCGAAAATCTTGGTATTCAGGAGATGACCTAGTGAGGAAACTAAGAACTTGTGCCCTATGATAAGCCTCTATACATGTATATATAGCTGTAAATAACTAGTTTAGGAAACATGTTTTTCAAGAATTTTCGATATTTGAATCTTGAAAATGACCAGCGTTCTAGCCTATATTAGTTGTTAGGTAGGCATGCATATCCATTTGGAATTACCTTATAACCATAAAGATGTGAGCATGCATATAAGGATGGATATTTGGAGCCACTAGGCTTTAAAATAAAAACATTAGAAAATTAGATTATGATGACAGATTAAATCCTAAATTTTGCTCCTAATTTATACCCAACTCACATGAGTTTTCCTTATATCACCTGATTAGTTTGCTATAAAAAATTGTTTTATTTATTCCTAAAATGCCATTTTTTTTCTATAATCCAGCGAACAATCATTGCATCAATTTAATTTTGAAAATATAGGTTCACCTTATACCAAATGTGGGTACTAAAGTTCATGAATCTACCACCAAATGAGTAGTTAAATATTCAAAAAAAAAAAATTTGAGTAATTATATATATGTATATATGTAAAGGTTTTCATATGTTGGCCTCGCAGATTGGGCACTTAAATTCACTTGCCATTTATAGGCATATGTAAAATATAAATTCTATTGCAGCTCAAGTAGTTAAGAGTATTTATCGTTGAACTTGATATCCTGTGTTCATTTCCTGTCTCTCCTCGTATCGCTTGTGAAAAAATAAAAATAAAAGACATAGACAAGTATCAAATTTCAAGTAAATTTTTAGTCTTCTCCATTGTTGCAGAAGCAAAGAAGTTTTGTGGTTTGTTTATGTACAACGACTTGTATGTATCTATTTTTATGCGTTCGTGCTATAATAATCATTTGCAAGGGGCTTATAGCTAGTGGTTAAAAGCATTTAACTCTGCACATGAGATTCTAGGTTTGGTACCTCTATCTTCTAATATCGTTTTTGTATTTTATTAAAAAAAAAAAATGCATACCTCCAATCACTTGGATCATTGAAATACATAGACATTTCTTTTTCCAGCACGCCCTAGAATAACGAGCACACTCCTTTTTGTGGGATGAGTTACAAGTTGGTTTACGAGCAACCAACCTTACATAAGTTTTACGAAACAACTAAATCTCAACAACACCAACCCCTACGAATTCTTAAATATAGAGACTGCAAGCTTGAAACATGACAAGGTTTTAAAAAATAGATAATGTGGTTGTAAACGGACTTGCCATGATAAAACCAGTAGTCGGGCTAGAACCTCGGACCTAATAAGATCCATGAGTGTTTGCTCGGCCACAATTTAAAGTGTTTTTCGTTTAGGTGCACAGTACATATTAATAGTTGTCATTTTTGTATTTTCTAGAAACACCATGTGATCTATTTTATTAGTCACAATATATATACAAGAGATATAATTTTAGTGGGTATGGCTCGAATCACCCGTGGGTGCATAGCATATAACGAAGCAACGAGTGGATTCTTTGTCTATGAAGGTCCATAGGTCAAAGGGAACGTCGACCTTAAAGGGACTCCTTGACACCAATTTCACTTTAACCTCACTATTTTTCTTTACGTCAGGCACTTTCACCAGACTTATCAACCCACAATGGCCCTCGGGTTTGAAGAGCTTCGCCACCAGTTTACCATTGTTGAGCAGCTGCACCTCGCCAGGCTCGTCAAGGATGGAGTCAAGCACTTGTGGCCGTATTGTCAGATGAATGCCGGGTTCAAACTGCAAGTTCAGTCCGGAGGCAACGTGCTTTATGTTTTGACCTCCCTCCCGACTAATTAGGGTCTTTATATTAACCGGCAACACAAAGTCCACCATCTTAATAGAGTTTAAGGTTTAGAGTGTAGGAGGCAAAAGCTTGTGAGATTGAGAAGTTGAAGGAGAAAGCTGAGGTAGGCTAATTTGCACTACGCTCGATCAATCTCGGCCTATTTATAACGTTTAGGTTGGTTTTAAAGAACTTAGCACGCTAAGTCTAAATTAATTGTGTCGGCATGTGCAGGCATGCGTGCATATGCATTGCGTATTTCTAATAACATTAATTGGGGGCGCTATGTGATGACACCACTTACGTCAAATAGATTTTATATTTGGACACACTCAAGAACTTTTGATACATTTTCATATACGCGAAAATATGTGTGTT